CCACCCGCCAAAAAAGCCATTGAAAAAATGAGTTAGATGCCATCATGACGACTTCGACCCCCCCCCACCACCCAAAATATGTAAATAAAATAACATTTGAAAAAAATAAGTTAGATGCCATCATGACGACCTCGAAGTTCATGAGTAGAAATGAGTTATATAAATGATAGGATAAGGGAAAAAATGTTAACTTTAGATTGAGGCTTTAATATAAGACCAGGTTTATCGTGGTAAGGTATGCTGATAAAAGACAAGGGGTTCCGCATATCTGCTTAAGATCAGAATAAAATTGGTTTACTACATACATGTTGTTATGTGTTTTGTTTCAGTATTTTGGATTTAGTTTTTAGAGCTCTGGGTATGATAACTAGAAATATTGTGATGCTCAGTGACGAAACCTCATTGTTGGATCAGGAACTTCTCCCCAAGCGCTACTCATCTTGTTCTTCTTCTTCTTGGAAGCAACGCTCAACAAAGAAAGCCAAAGGTTCCGACAATTCAAGTACGATCGACATGGAACTTGGCTCTTGGGTTCATTTCGATTTTGACGTTGCAATTTCAAAATAACTGCGATGACGTCATGCTCTGTTACTGGTGTATATAGTTCTTTGGTATTACAATCTAACAAATAACAAAATTAACCTCTTTTATAGAGTCAAGCAAATTATGGAAATAAAATTGAACCATATATTAGTCCCGAAATGACCTAGTTTGTGTCGAGTGGACGTTAAACTCCATTTCTCTCTCTCTCTCTCTCTCTTATAGAGTGTCTAAACGTAAAGAATAGTGGGCTACGGCGTCATAGATGGGTTTCCTTCAAAACCCCAAGCTAATAATCTATCTTGAATACACCGACAGTGGTATAAGTCAACTAATTTAACTTTTACTCCATTTTACCCCTCTATCTCTAAACGTGAACTTTAATGGTATGATAAACGGGTAGGAGAACACCAAGTCTTACAAATATTTTAATCTAAATCTGATTGGTATTATATATCCTTCACATATTATCAATAGACGTTTTCGCTTAATTAACTCGCTACAATAAAGATGGGTACAACACTCACGTCAACCAGTGTAACACTAGAAAGGTAGTACGCTAGAATGAAGACCTCGATTTAAATGTTTGTGTGGTAGTTTCATGCATTCAGTTATAATTCGTTCGAGTGAAATGAAATGGTGTTAACGATCCTACATTTGTGCACCGACTGGGATAATGCAGTGTGTTATGATCATGGAAATTTCGTTCGGCGCTACGGCCCACTCTTTCGAATTTCAACTGTCAATTCATCTTTTACGTGCACGCCAACGTGTACACGGGACGACAACGAGTACATGGGGCCTCGGTTTGCTATGACACCCAAGACCTACTGGTTAACGAGTCATGGCCTTAATCAATAAAACTTTTTATTTAAAATACACCAGTCTTATTCACCTTTCTGTGATATTCTGTGATAATCGTGACATCAGTTCACATCGACATTTTATCTACAGGTGTGCTTCAAAAAGAATATTTTAATTTATATCCTGTTGTGGGCTAAATATAAAGTCATAAAAAATATTTGTGCCATTTTATAGTATAAAATCAGATGTTTAATATCATGTAGCCTAAGGCGGTATTAAAATGGAACTTGACATTTCTGAACTGATATAGTGGATCAACAAACGTATATTCATCCAGGCTTATTATCATTTATCAGGGAGCATTGATGAAATGAAATGAAAGTGAAATGAGGTGGGCTTTAACGTCCTATGCCATGCAGTGTACCATGAGGGAAATTTGCCAGGACAACAGCGCTACGGCGTACTCTTATATCGAATTTAAACTGTCAAGGGTTCTTTTACGTGCACACCAATGTGTACACGGGACCTCGGTTTTCGTCCTATCCGAACAACCAGACAGCTGTTCTTGTCAGACCCCCATTATGAACCACTGACATAGGAAACCGTGCAGGAAAATTCTGAGGAACTTTCTCGGCCAACACCGGGGAGCGAACCCGAGTCCTAGCTCCTGGCTAAGCCATCGCGTCTCCCTTGATGAAATGGGATCAGCGTCTTGTTATGTTACGTGAGGTATGCTGAGGTTAGGACAGCGGCGTTTCTCCCAATTCCTTTATGGTTTCCAACTGTCAAAGACATCTGTCACTCAAACGAAACATTGCCATGTCGATCAGTAACAACCGTGGTTTGGAAATCATTCTCACCAACGACAATTTATTGGAGTACCTTCGAGAGAAAATAAATACAGTAAAATGATTGTTTGATTTTTTTTCTGGGTGGCGAATAAGTTTGTCCTTGATCAAGATCATTTTTCCCCTAATTTCCAGTCTTTATATCCGGTTTCAAGTCGGTATCTCAATTGATGATTTGTACAACGAAATGCAACACAAATGAAAGCTCTGTTGGGGCTTTAGATGTATATAAAAAAGAAATGATTAAAACACACGAGTCATAGGACGAGCGCTTTGTATAGGATAAAGTATATTAATATTATATTATTAATTTTTTTAACACCCGATCTATTCAGAAGAAAAGTAACACATCCAAAACGTTCATTTCGTATCATCTCTATCCACACAAATGTCAGAGATATATTGGGTTATATAAAACTCCCTGTGCATATTGTAGCATTCTAAAATAACGGGCTTAATACAAAAAGTATATTGTTTAAAAGCAGATCTGGGATTAGGCCAAAATAAAACGAAGAAAAGATTGGGCGGATATGTTACAATCTTGAATTTAGGTTTAACGGAGTAAGCGAAAGTAGACCTATTTACTTAGGTTTGTCGTTTTCGTTGGATTTTATTTGTTTGATGGGGATCACGTGGCTAAGTGGGTAAGACGCTAGCTCGCTAGCCTGGAGGTCGGGTGTTCGATCCCTGCATTGGCCGAGAAAGTTCACCCAGATTTTCCGGCGTGGTTCTCCCTTGTCAGTGATGCAGGACGGAGGGGCTGACAAGGAAAGCTGTCTAGTCGTTCGGATGGGACGAAAAAACGAGGTCCCGTGTATACATTGGCGTGCACGTAAAAGATCCCTTGGCAGTTGGAATTCGATATAAGAGTAGGCCGTAGTGCCGCTGTCCGGGCAAAATTTCCCTCATAGCACACTGTATGGCGTATGCCCGTCTTCATTAGCCCAGGTTAGGAGCAGAACAGTAGGACGTTAAACTCCATTTCATTTCATTTCATATATTTGTTTGATTTGTTTTGTGCGATGATAACTTGTTTTCGTTTCGCCTATAGATGAAACCAGTCTTCAGATATTATCAATTTTGGGTTCCATTATGGACATAGAAAGCCGAAAATTAAACTAAATTTAGTCAGAAATCCAACTCCAGTTTAATCTTTCGAAACATTAAATTTAATCGTATAAAGCTTGACTTTATTTTGACCTAAAATTACGGGGTAATTCAACTTTAATGTCTCATCTGAGGAAATCGAAATCAAAGCAATCTAACGTTAGCTTAATCTAAGAACTATCCGTCCAATGATGTATTCTGGATATACCGGTTGTGATAGAGTGAGCGTGACTTTAATTCCATAATCCTAAGACAAACTGGCAGAGCAAATTAAAAAAATCAATGCATATAATGTGTCCTTTTCTTTCTTGTGTACTATGAATTTGCTTTGATTTCAATTTCCACAGATGAGACATTAAAGTTGAATAACCTCATTATTTTAGGTCAAAATAAAGTCAAGATTTTGACACCTATTTGAAAATCATTTGCTACTGTGGTGAAACTTTTAAAGTCAGAATTTTAGATTTCTAAAGTTAACATTTTAAATGACAGTCCCATTAATCATGGTGTATTCTCCACGAAACTTGTCGTTTTTGTGTAGTTTTATTTCTCCTGTTACCCTTGGTTATTACTCACCCACTGTTTATAGAAATATGTTTAAAGAGACAACGAGGCAACGTTGTAATTCGAAGGACAAATCGGCAGCTTTTCTTTACTGAACTGCACACATGAATGTGTCTAAAACAGTCCGACGTTATTATGTTAATATCTAAAATAAATAATGACCAAGAAAATAAAATGAATTAATCAGGGGCCTATGATGCCCTAGAAGATAAAATAAATTAATCAGGGGTCTATGATGTCCCAGAATATAAAACACATTAATCACGGGCCTATGATGCCCCGGAATGTAAACAACCACAGGCCTATGATGTCCCAGAATATAAAGCAAATTAAAAACGGGCCTGTGATGCCCCAGAATATAGAATATAAAACAAATCAACCACAGGCGTATGATATCCCAGAATATAAAATAGAATTACACAGACATATGATTTTATTTGCAGCTTTGTATACTAAAAGGTGTTACCATTTGTTGTAGAAAGAGTACATTGACTAGAACACTCAGATGTCACTTCTTAATATCCACAGCGATAGTTCGGCAGACATTTTAAAAGTTGTTATTTTGGGTCACTGCTCGTTTCATATCATTTGAAAATTGGAATTAAGATTTAAATTTGTTTTTCTGTTACTACTCAATTTCCCATGACATGAATGTTGACTTGTTAGTTGAGGTGAAGAAATTTATTTCGTTGTTACCTATAACTTATTAAGATTAGAATCATATGACCCATATGTTTAACTATGATTAAATTTCACACCCTAAAAACGATTTCCATAATATCCGTAATGGTAGAATAAACTTTTTAAAGGCATTTATTTATATCTCTAAAGATTCGCTGGTAAAAGTTTTACCGTTCAATTTTACACGAACACAAAACAACATTCTTTATGTCTAATTTTCCCAGATTTTACAGATAGGATAACAAAATTCATTGACCCATACCTTTAACTAGCTAACTACCTTGTCCTGAGCCGTTCAACTAAAAACCATTACCATTTCCATTCAGAAAACTAGTCCAACCCTCTAGCTGTATATCAGCCAATCAGATGATTAGCTTTGTCACGTGCTATTTTCAACATACAATAGGTGATACACGCGCTAACCCGTGAGCCGTGCATGGTTTATAGTGTATTTGAGTGTTAGCAATAATATTAGTGAATGTGTGTGTATAAATACAAGACACCTTAAAGTTAGAAAGCGTACATATGTGTTTCATATTTATACATGGGATTTATAATCATACTACCATTCTATTCCTTCACGTTCTATAACGTCACGGTGTTGACAAGGTGATGATTGTGAGAGAAGGAACGTCAAAGTGTTATTAAAGGAGGTATGGAAGAAAGGGAGATAAGCCATGCGATGTTAAGGACATGGTAATATTTCGCTATGTCCCATATAAGCGTTTATTGTCATATGTTATAATGTCAATTATTGGTTTCACGATGCTTGGTGTTTACGTTGTTGTGCTAACGTGGTGTACGACTTTGGGATTTCCCGAGTACACGGGGAACAGGATACCTGTGTATACCAGAGAAAAACCTCCCGATACCCACGTGGAAAGACTTGTCCAAAACATTCAACGACATAATCGCGAACTGCAATATTCAAAATCAGGGGATATAAATAAAAAGTATTTCTGGACTCAGGCGGACATCAGGAATTTTGACAATGCCGAGTCGACAAATACGCCAGATAGTAGTATTTATTTAGATGGAAAGAGTAACGTTAATACTGATAACACGGATAATAGTGATACTATGGATAATACCGATAAAACTTTCTTGCAACCGACTCATCAACCTGGTAACATAACCGTCATTCAGTACAACAACCCAAGAACATTTACAAAAATACGACAAAAAATGAGTAAAAAACTTCCACAAGCTCTAATAATCGGAGTAAAGAAAGGGGGGACTCGGGCCCTATTGGAGTTTTTAAGGATTCACCCTGATGTACGAGCCCCGGGCCCAGAACCCCATTTCTTTGATCGACATTATGATAAAGGACTAGAGTGGTACAGGTAAGTCATTGTCACTTTAATATAAACAACATTTTCTACTCTTAGAGTGGTATATTGTGGTTCCGTTAAGTTGATTCGATTAAATCGTCTACTACAGATATATCAGCTGTTTTGCCATATATATATATTGTTGTGGATCAAACAGGACTTTGTGGTATATACATGTGGTATATTCCGATAGTACATCATTGTTCTTCTACCGTTAACGTAGTGGTGGATGCGTGGTTTTATGTGCCCAGCGAACGTCCATATGATTAGCTCAATAGTGATGTAGAGTTAGTTAAGAAAACGCTGCGCTGCGATTGAACGTGTCCTTTTCTGTAAGTCCCGAATTAAACCACATGCCCCTTCTCTTAAAGTTAATTAACAAGTCTGTCTTTCCGCGTACCATGACTTCACTTAAAACATATTTTGGTGTACAAATAACTAGCTTTGAGTTTATAACAAACTGCGAGACACCTTTTAGCACTGTACTACTACGGCTATATTAGCGTCATTCGTATTGTGATAGTAACTGTAGTTTCTCTATTTCCAATATTCTCTTAATTACTCTACGAGCCATCACACTACTAGTATTGCTCAGTTTCAAATTAACCTTGCATTAGGATATCGGCGTCCAACCATTAGGGGGCTTCCTCTTCCCTGTCACAATATCTTTGATGAAGCTTTGCGTCATTCAGAAAAAAATCCTGGTTTTATTTTATTAGTGGGCTTCAGTTATTGGACAAGTATTTACTCACTGGTGTAATTTAAAAATATCAGATTTGAATCTTTACTCTTATGGTTTATATGTTGTTAGCATGTGATCATGGTTAACTGATGAACACATATATGAAAGGACAATGTATATATTTAAACTACTACCGTGTGTAGTAATTGATCATTCTTTGAGCTGTGAAGTACCCCCCCCCCCACCCGATGAGCTACAATCGCTAAACTTGACAACGACACATGAATATAGAATGGCAAAATATTGTCACACCAGTGTTATCGGGTCTTCTAAAATGACGATAGTTTGTAAATATATTTCAGGTGAGGGTTACCCGCAATTAATAATAATAATATAATAATAATAATAATAATAATAAATGACCATTTCTTGAGCCCAAAATCCATCGATAAGCATGCTCAAAGCACTTTTAAGAGCAATAAACTATTCAGTTTAGTCTACATAAGATTGTCTGAACAAGTGAGTTCTTAATTGGGATTTGAAACTTGTAAGAGGTTTGCTGTCGCGAATATTTTGAGGATAATTTGGTGCAGCTTCTATCTCGGAACGGTTTTAATTTTGATGATCGAATGCACCAAAGGTTATGATGCTGGGATCTCAAAATACGAGTTGGTATACAGTTAGTAGTTCTGAAAGATAAAAGGGTGCTGTACCCTGGTGAATCGGAAGCCAATGCATGGATTTCAAGACGAAGGTAATGTGCGATGACTTGTTCTGGATATGATCCTGGCAGCTGTATTCTGCACTTTTTGGGGCTTGTACAGTATGGCTTGTGTACTACCAGCTAGAATTGCGACGGGGTTGAGGTTTAGCTTGTTATTGGAAAACTGCAAGCTTGTAATTTTAAGATGATAATGTTACATGGAAGGGATACCGTAGTCCCAGATTTTAATCGAATCAACTTGACGTTGTTCTGGAATATACATCATATTTTGCCTGGTTCAGGTAAAACTGCCAATCAAATGATACAACCTGGCAATCGTTTTGGCATTGAATTACAATAAATATAAACGATATGATATTAATACACTATACATCAATATACCATCTTTAACCTTATACTTATTGTCTAGTATATACAGTTATGTTTTCCTGAATATCTTCAATCTTATACTCAATTCCAAGTACATGTATATGAGCTAATGTATACTGAACGTCTGCAATATACTACTAAATTTATATTTATGTTTTACTGAAAATCTTCAGTATTATACTTAATTTCTAGTACAAGTTTTACCTTTTATCGAACATATTATACTTAATATCTAGTACAATGTTTTGCCGGATATCTTCAGTTAATTCCTAGTACACGTATACACAAACGTATATATCTGCGGTATTATACTAAATGTCTAGCCCGTTCATTCACCTGTATAAAATATTGTTTCATAAATGAAACCAATATTATATTATATTAACACACACTGATATTATGATGTGCATACTTCAATACACACCCTTAACTGTTTATGTTACACTGAAGAACACTACTTTATACTGCATGGGTTTATACTGAAAATATATGATTCTGGAAAAAGGAAATCAGGCGATGAATTCAATCATTTCTAATTATGAGTTGACATTTCACCGCGGATGATCGGGTATTACCCATTAGACACTTACCTAAATGTCAACATTAAAAGATACTGACAAGTAAGATCGATACAATAGGATGATTTGGTGATAAATAAATCATATCGATCTATTTATAGTCTAAAATCAATGAAACATATATCTGTTATATGTTGAGTATATGAACACTTGTTCTTGTTAAAGTAGTTAGATTAACTCGGCTATATTAACAACAGCTTTTTAGTCATTGGTGGTTTGACAGTACATGTAGAAACAAAAATGTGGATGGATGAGTAAATCAATGAATTATGGATATATCAATTACTGTGTCCTTTGTAAGGGGAGAGGGCAAGTGAAATAAATAGGTGAAGGAAGCAGTGGACAGTATAAATAAATGAAAAGGAAATGAAATTATCAGATCTTCCTTAAGACGAGAAGAACGTGATTAATCATCTTTGATATGAGTTATTTCAATCATAAATCCCACTGTTTAGAAATATTTTCAAAAGTTCTAAATATTTATCAAATATGCAAGAAATATGTCTGATAATGGTTTTGGCATTTCCCAATGAACTCTTTTGTAACCAATTTTACAGGCTTTCCCCAAGGAGATGATTTTAAGCCAACAGCTTTCTATGAAATCATACAAAGATCCCAAGACTTAATGTTCGTTTTTCATTGAATAGTGCCATTGAGTAAGAATTTTCAGGGTTTATAAAAACAACTTTTTAATAAAATAAATGTGAAGGCGACATTCCGTTCTTAGAAGAAGTAAATGTTATGAACTGCCAAATTCTTTTGATGTTTTAAATGCCTTATGAACTTTTCTAGTATCATTGGATACTATCCTTTGGGGTTAACAACCATCGTATACTTCAAGTCTTCCTATAGATATTATTCCTTCATAAAAAGCAGCATGTTTTATGTAAAAAGCACACCCTAAATAATTTGTTTTGTGATCTAGTGCTATTTTGTATTTAATCTATTCTAAGGTGATTCATATAGAAAAAAACAGCATATTTTTATGTTTTAAGAAATCATTATTTATTTGATCCTTTTTTCGATGACTTTATTTCAAGTGCTCGTTCCTTTTGAGTAGAAAATTAATCATTTTGTAAGGAAACGCTTGTTGATTTTTTGATATGTTCTTCCTGCTCCTTGAGCAGGACATTTTTGTCATATCTCTTACTTTTAAAAAAAATCATCTTTTGAGCAAAACCACTTAAATCAAACGCTTAAAAATGTATAATAAACGGGTGCTTTTTGATGCCATAGTTGGTCGTGATGTATTTCATGATCTCCATCATCAACATTTAAAAAAAGAACTCCATTTTCTGAATACCCCCACTCTTTGGCCATCAACCCAGTGGAACTATTTCACTGCACTTAACGCGCAATTGTTCATATGTATTCATGCACAACGGCCCGCTATCGTTAGTATTTGTCCGTAATGATATCAAGCCCCTTTGATGTGAAGGATTTTATAAGATTGATGCATTTGTACTTAAATTTGCGGGACTAAAAAAATCCTGTGGCAATATTTGGATATTTATATGTGTTATGAGAATCATTTAAATCATCAAAGATAAAGAGAAAATGACTAAAGACAGACTAAATTATTTTGATCCAATTTTTTTCTCAATAAAAAAAATGCAAATTGACGACTTTAATCTGGGAGAAAATCGAAATCAATGATTAGAAAACGAAGACTTTGTATGCAACTATTCTCAAATGACTTTAATTTCTGAAGATCAAATCAAGCGAAATAATTAAATGCGCAGATCAATATCGGAGTAAATGAGGCGCACGCGTTAACACACGCTAGAATTGACTTACCTAAAAACGGCGCGAAATAAGTGGCGGGAAATGTACCATGAACGGAAACACGGCATCAACAATGGATTTATTCCTAAATTTTTCATTCATCTTCATAAAAATGACAGACACAACCAAAGAAAACACACAAAATTAATAGAATATTTTTTTCCATGTTGTAATTTTAAGGATGTAAATGTTGGCTGGCGTCTGATCGATTCACGGCGGGAGAAGACAGAAGGAAAAGTGTGAATGATTGGGATATAAGTTGCTGTATCAATTGATTAGATGATAATCATAGTCTACACTCATCTGTTTACTGTCCATATGTTTCCGGCTAAACAGACGTGCATTTTAGCGGCAATATATTCCACGGGATCCGATTCTTTGGAGGGGTACTATTTATTTTGTCACCGCGGTTGTACATATATGCACCTCTAAACTTAATATTGGAAGTTCTCATTGATTTAATCTAGTCATAATGGATTTTCCAACATATTTAGATAATATACATGATACAATATTAATGTTCACCTATCAGTCTACAAACGTAAATGCAATGGTGTTAAATGCCACGTCAACACCAACCAGGCTATATTCCGCCAAACACATATTGATGTCTACAAGACATCTTACAAAATTTAATGTAGATACAGAAATTTATCAGTAAATCTATCGCCCCCACAATTTGGCAAGTTGCTTAATTTCAAACAGCACACACCGCGGCCTCGGCAAACCAGTCCCCACCCTCTATAAATTAGCCCCACAGGGAATCCACAATCTGACAAGTAATCTGAGACAACCTATTTATGTTATCAAAATATGATGGTACTACTTCATAATAACAATTATCATATATTTATTTCTCTATAAATGACAAAGG